CAGATGCCAGCTGTCTTTACCACTGTTGATGCCATGTTAACAGAAGATCACTTTCTGACAGTCTGACAACAAGGAAGAAACTGTGGGATCAAATAACAGAGCAAGTTAAGATGGAAAGCCCTGGCAAGAAAGCTAACAAGACAGTAAGTTTCTCCAAAACCACCCTATTAAAAGAAAGGAAGAAAGAAAAAAGAAAGAAAGAAATGAGACTAAATTATTCAGCAAAAACCACTCTCCGCTGGAATGTAATCCTGGAAAGAATCAGTGACGCAAAGGAATATACCTCAAAAAAGCAAAAAGAATAGAATTGTTTAAACTTCCTAAGTACGAGAAATTGAGAAGAACATGAATACAACCCAACTGATATAATAACAATTACTGTACTACTAAATGGAAAAGCATGAGCAGTTAAAAAAAATTACAAAATTAAATGAAAAGGCATGCATTAATAGCAGTGGGGAAGACAAACATGAAAGAAAAGTGTGGACTGAGCCCATCGATAACTTTCTTTACAAGCTTATATTAAGAAGTTGCAACTGGATTTCTGTCATTCATTTCAAGGAGAGCAAAGGCAAGCATAAAGACCAATTTTTGTAGTAACGCCTTCAGGTCAACAGGAGTCAAGTAAAACTACACCTCTTCATCACTCCTGACTGCAGGGATTACATTTTCTAATTCAATTCTCACGAAACGTTAATCAGTTCGAAACATATATATATTTAGTCTTGAGAGTGGCCTGCTGCAGAAGTGCCTGCTAAGCAATTCTACTAGCTCTATGTGAGGCACGAGTACAAATTTATTTTCTTACAAAAGAAAATAATCTTTTCTGGTCAAGATTCGGTCTTGATATCTCAGAAGACGACACAGTCTAGGACGTCAGAGAACGTGAAACAGTTATAGAATCAAGTCAAAGGCAATAAAGCACAACTAATCATTTTTTTCCATTGTGTGATATTGGGTCTTAACATATAACGTTTAAAGCTATTTTCAGACTGGCACCATAAGCAAGCTGTGTCTTGCAGTACCCAAATCCTTTAATTCTAATATGCATGATATCACAATGAAAGATGACTTGATATCATCCCTGACAGAATACTTCCTTTAAGGTTACCTCTACCTATAATATTTGTTTTTTCAGGTTATGCCAGTGTAGATTGCAGAAGAAGAATATGGAAGCATCTGAGAGGTTATAACTGCTGACAGCACTAACATACCTACTGCCTCTCCCCATGCTACCATGCAAGAGAATAAAAAGCAAAGTCAGTGAAACCTTTTCCGTTAGTTAAAAGGTTCTTGTAACTGAAGACTGTGAAAACAAGGATGGAGAACCAGTCACGGGATCTGCAGTCTCGGGTAACCAGTTATTCAAATCACTGCTTTGTTGTTTTATGGAGACACAACAACCACTTATTAACATATTGTGATACAGAACTTCATTAGTGTGCATCACTCGCTGTGAAGATACACTATGACCTTTAGAGCATGTTTCTATGGTGATAAATGAACATGAAAAAGAAAAACCACATGGATTATATCAGTATAACCTAAAGATAGTCCTAAAAATAAGTATTATATTTACTCTTTCCAAGTTCAATATATAGTTTGGGGAAATAAGACAGATGAATTTTCAACTAAAGATCCGCTTACTTAAGACAAGACCAGATATGAGTGTTAGGTGAGGTTTTGGCAACACTCCTTGGCAAAATACAGTACAGCATGGAAGGGATTAAGCTACAGAGTCTAAAGACAGTTTCTGTGTCTGGTTGTCTAGGTGTTTATCACTTAAAATTCAGGTGAACTGCTAATAGGAACACTGCAAGAAGATTAAATGATGTTTTCCTAACTCTTGTGAAGGCCAAAACCGAGTAAGAGAGAAATTCTGAACAGTGGAAAAGTACATAACAGACCCCTGAGCATCTTGCACATGGGAAAGAAAAAAAATACCAAGCACAATCATGGCAAGGCCATTTACTACTCAACATAAATGGTTCAAATGTAGCTGATAGCAAGGCATTCCAAAGTGTAGGCCTGGGCCTGGTCTTTAGAACATAAAATGGTTTCTAAGTTTTATTTTATGTAAGAAATAAGGTCTTCTTATATAACAAGATACGAACAAAAAAGTAAAAGAAGTTCCACAATCTTCTCCTCCTACTTTTGCAACAGTAGCTTCAGTATTGTTGCTGAAACCTTAAAAACTGAAGAAATACTTTCAATCCAGAAAGCGTGCCTGCTCTTCCTTCCTAATTATGCTGGTGCAGCCAGTAAAAGACGCTACGACTCACTATAAACAGTAATTTCATTCTTGATATCACTTCCACAAATCTCTTTTTGGCTAGAAATGAATTATTCAGAACAAAGATCAAGAACGGGGATCTAGTCTGTTATCATATATGATAACCAAACTCACCATCATTGAAGTAGCTGGAATGTATTTAACTAGTGTTAAGTAATGTCATAATAAGATCTATGAGCTGCAGGATCGCTTTTATACTGTTTAAGAGAAGAGCTTCAAAGAAGCTGCTGACACATTACGCGTACCAAGCCCTTCTTGAACGTCCATAGGAAATAAAATGCCACAAGATTACGACTACTGTAGGTATCGTTTTCGGGCTCAAAACGTATCATTTTTGAGTGAAGGCAAAAGCATAGATAAATTATGGGATTTTGAGAACAGAGTGTAAACTGAAAGGGGAACAGAAAGATCCCTCATACTTAAATAGGGACATAAGTGATCAGAAATACACAGAAGAAAAAACCCACTGTTCTGAACAATAAGCATAACAATCATTATATAATCATCCTTTATTTACAGCTTAATGCTTTGGAATGCATAAAAGGGGTGAAATGCAAGATCCAAATAAAATATGGACAAATAGGTAGCTATATTAATATCTTCCAAGCATGAAACTCACTTCTTCCCAAAAAATCACAACATCTGCCCAGTAGGGCAGGGGGGGAAAAGGGGGAAGGGAATAGGCCTGACAAGCGGAAATAAACTGGACTAAACTACTGAAGTCCTAAAAAGTGTTTCTTAGAAAAAAAAAATCCATCTTTATGAAAATAGCTTACTATATCACGTAAATATTTGTAAACAAAGAATACCATTTAATCATAAAAGTAGAAGATACTTTGCCTAAGTTTTCCTATGACAAACTTTTCAACTACTAGAGCCAAAAAACTCTCCTGAGACCAGGAAAGAAAAGATAATCATTTATGTCTGTAAAGAAGCATTGGAAAATACACTTCAGTGAGCAGACCTGTACATCACAGGATAGGGAGAAACACTAGATATAGTCATGAGTATTTTTAAATATACACTGATTCTATGTAGCTCTTTAAATAACATCAAATACCAGATGTGTCATTTCAAATCTCCCAACTTCTCTAAATGACAATCGTTTCAAGCAGGACTGCATATGCGCTTAGGTGTTCAAAATCAGTCTAAAATCTTTATTTTGAAAATTTAAGCTTGTTAAATTTTTTGAGCACTTAATGCTGAGAGCGTGCTATGTTTGCCATTACATCCACAATTAAACATGCCAAAAAAAAAAGTTTACTTTTTATTGCATGAAAAGCGTAGATTTCACAAGACTTACTTCAATCTACTTCCTGGCACACACAAAAAAATGAAGCCATGTATCCATATATGTACGCGTGTGTGTGCATGTGTGCGTGCACATATATATATAGGCCTATGTATACGTACACACACACATGCAGAGGTTCTCTTGATTTAATAAAAACAAGCACCAGTGACAATGCTAATAAAATCAGTAATTAACTGTACCATGATCTTTTCTCTCACATCTCTCTTTCCAACTGAAACGTCTAATCTCATCCTTGTAAACAGAAGCATTCAACAATCTGGATGCAAGTACATCCACCAATATGTTTTCATTTCTCAGCACGTAATCTAATGAGCTTTCCTCCTAAGTCATTTAAAATTAACACATTTCCTAAAATATACGCGGGACACTCACCAAATCCTCTCTATGCTAATTAATCATCTCCTAGGATGATGCGTACAGCTCAAGCAATAGTTTGTTTTATTAAAATATAAGACTACAAAAACATCCCTTAAAGGGCTACACTCTGAAAACGATAAATGTTGTTTCCAAATCCTCCACTTTTCTCTTTCAGCCACAGTCAAAGTATGCTACAGAAGATTACAAGCAAGCTAATCATTATTTGGATTTCGCTGAAATCTAGCGGCCACATTTTAAAACAGATTAGTCGCAAAGTTAACACTAACTCATTGAGACAGTCAGGACTATAAAATACTTTTAGAAGTACTATTGAAGAGTATAACGATCACCATGCCATTAAGCCAAAAAGACAAACTCATTTGTGACTCAACATCTGCATCTTCAGGAAGTAGTTCTTAATAGCAAAAAGCAGAGCACAACCAACATTATATTCAACAGTGCGCTTAATAGCTTCCTGTCCCAACAGGAATTATTTTATTTTATTCCATATCTAGAATCACAGGTACCTTTAGAAGTAACATACCATGCAGACTCGCAACAAAGCACATGTTGATAAGTATAACGAAACAAGAAGCAGAACACCTTAATTATAGAAGAGCCAGTAACCCATAAATGCTGATATTTACACCTGAGTGCCCACACGCCCAACATGGAAAGCCAGTTGAAGTGGAGGGGAAGGGAGAGAGGAACCTTCACAAGCCCTTCCTGTTCTAACAAATGGAATACAGATATCAGCTAAGTTAATTTTTTTTTGTTGTTTAAAAAGATTTTCCTCTTTTCTTCCTGGGAGTGCCCTAACTTAGGCACACCTTTCACTTCTTACTGGACTGCAAAAGCCTGTCTTTCTGACAGCCTTTAAAATTTTTATTTTTTAAATCTCTCCAAGGTAATAAATATTATTTACTTGCATGCAGATATTTATTAAAAATACCATCAGTAGTCAGTGCTTGTTCCACCTATTCCCCATTTCAGCCAATCAAGCTCTTGTTTCCTCCAAAATACAGTGCCATTTACCTCACTGACCTTGGGACTGCCTTCCTCCAGTATTTCTCCCTCATCAGTTTGCATGGGACCAGGATCTGTGCAAAACTCTGCAGAAATGCAAAATACTGCCTAAAAGATAAAGAGTAAAGAAAAATATACTTTAAAATAATGTTTTTTCCACATTAAACAGTATTAAATAAGATTGCAGTGAACATAAATAGGGACTATTGGCTATGACCTTTAATGTTCACTTTCTGTACACGTATGCTGAATGTATATGTTCTGACAAACAAGTGAGGCAACTGTTGTTCAGGATAAGGTAAAGAGAAAAAAAGCACCACAAAGGAGTCTATATTTTTTAATGTTAAAATATGCCATTGTTGAGTATTTTATGTAATAATTATGTTTACTCATTAAAACTACAGTCAGTAAGGAATAATCACATGGACTAGAGAGAGCAGAACAAATCCTTCTTACTAGAAAATAGCTTTTGTATAAATACAGGCTTCACAGATTCAGCTTATAGATGCTCTAAAGGTTATTAATCTGAAAAGCTGTTAGACTCCCAGTGATCCTACAGTGCCTCAGTTCTTACCTTAAGGAATTTTTCCTTGACTTCATTTAGAAATAAATAGATTCTAGGCTCTAAATGGTTCATGGAACTGATACAAAGTCATACATCTGTAGGTCACTATTCCCAATCGAACCCAAGTCAACAGCTCCCAGTGTTTCCAGTATTCAACACTACGTCCTAACTTATTTTATAATCTATTTGATGAAGTCACTGCAGTTCCAACTGAACAAAGCCTACATCCCAAATTCCATCCCTGCAATTTTAAAGTAATTCATGAAAGGCTGCAATAAAGCTGGGGAGACTATTTGGTTACAAAGATTAGAACGTCTTCTACTCCAGAGGATGAGCCATCTTTCATGGGTAACGGGTCAAATAAATTAATTTGGCAAATCAAGCTACAGATCAAATGCACTGGGGCAAGATGCAATCTATCGGCTGGCCCATAATATTCCAGCTCTGCAGAAAGTACAGTGAGTTTTAAACCTGATGTGAACCTGAAGCCAAGAGCTGCTGGCCTTTAACAGTTGCCCTTCTCAAGATGCTACGACTCCTTAACCTGCACCAGCATTTAAGCGCCAAAGTCTCTCTGCATTTCATATCCGCATCTCAGCTACAGAGCTGCTGGCTCTACTTTCACGTCTACAGCAGCAATTCTAAACTTGAGAAGTGACAACTTTGAGAAGGCAAATACTAATGAGGTTAAAAAAAGAGAAAGTTTGGGAATTGTTCTTCTAGACAAATCTCTTCCAGATTAAGATTAAAGCCTCTTCATAAGGTAAGGCTGTCTGCACTGCCAGTGACTTCTGTATGTAGTGTGTAGGTAGAAATACCTTTCATGGCTATCAAACTGAAACATGGAATGAAGAATACATTCTAAAAACAAGAGCCTGAAGCTACAAAATGTTACGTATTGCTTATCAACCCTTATAACCAACAACCTGCTATGCTCAGTAATACCATATACTCTCACACAAAGTGGCAGTTCATTTTTCACAAAGACCGACAGCAGAGTAATTTCCTTTTCTGAGGAAAGAGGAATGAGGATAAAGCAGAAAAAAATTTATCCAAATTCTCCCCCTCCTCCATCACACAGACTGTGAGAGACTTTGGAGAAACATGACATGACTATTATTGTAGTTTTATTTGTAAAAACTATGATATTTCCCCTATTCCACAAATACTGAACTTCTCAACTATTAAGCAAGGACATTTAAAATCTATAGGGACCTGGTTCTTTCTTACATGCAACCAAAAGGTTCAACTTTTTCAATAAAGAACGTCATTCAATATCATACACAAAGATTTTATCAGTGCAAACCTCACTGATACAAATATGCATTAGTGCACATTAAATTACTTTTTATTAGCACTGTGATGACATATGCACTACTTCATTTTATCCTGAGTTTTCACATGCAAGCAAAAGGCACAACAGGTACAGTCTTCCCAGTTGAAAAAAAAAAAAAAGTATATATGTTTGCAGAGGAGTTCAAGAACTGGATATGGACAGGCTACAGTATCAATATCATTATCTTGTCTGAGTGAATATAGTGATCTTTCTCAAACCTGAGATTTGACCTACCAGTTAAACCAAATACATTGTGTTTGTCAATAACCACCTCACACAGTCAGATATGATTTTTGAAGTGCATGAAAGACACCAACTGATCCCTGACACATGTTGAAAGAGGTATACCAGCTAGCAATTTAGGAATATACATCATGTTATCCTTTTGGTGCCCTAATCCACTGAATGGAAGTTAATGCTGTAAACATGACAAGACAAAACAGTTTGCTTTTGAGCATAACACAGAATGATAACCTGGAAACATCCTGAGCTTCTATCTCTTTCCTGAAACGCCTCTCTAAAGGGGAGGAGACATGATAGATTCATATGGGATTAACAGGAGATAAACCTAAATGTCAACCCAGTCCCTATAGCTTGTCACATACAGAAGTTAATACACATGAGACTGGAGCTTATCACTTTAACAAGAAGATTAAGTAAACAAAAAAAAAAGAGCAACTCAAGTGAAATAATATATGAAACACTCCTAAAGGAATTTAGGGTTAGGCTCTATTAGCAGTAGAACTTTATTGTGATCTCATGAAGTAGTGGATTTCCTGAGCACAAGGTGTGCATTGGAGAAATTTCCTTTCTAACATGAAATGAATGAAGATTGATCTGAGAAACAAACAATTGTGGGGTTGAGAGAGAGAGAGAGAGAGAGAGAGAGAGGTGCTAAGATATTCTCCCTGCAGCAAATAATCAATAATCTTAAGAAACAGACGCTAAACAAGACTTGTATCATATATATGTATGCCAAAAACTTGCTACATTAGACATGTATTTCTCCTGGACAGGGTATCTTCCTGTCCCGCAGCAAGAGCTCACGGGTGCATGCAGAGCAGTCCCTGTCCATGGTACTCAAACACATTGAGCTACTGAGGCTGATTTTGGAGCTTCTGGAGCAGGGAGATTCTGGGACTTTCCAAAAATGATTTTGTTATATCAGATTCAAGTAATTGGGAAGTTCCATACATTGTTAGATGGACAATTTGAGGGTTTGGTCAGAAGGATTGCTGTAGCACTGAACTGGCTGAGGTTTGACACCACCCTTTAAATCAGAGGAACAAGCAAGATGGAACTCGAGCTCCAGAAGCATAAGAAAAAGCTTGTGAAATAAAACGACCACCAGGACCAGTTAGTATTCACTCACAATGCAAAGAGAATTTAAATATGAATTTCTAAAAAACCTGTTATGTTTATCTTCTCAGATCTCCCTCAATACCAGAAGAACAGGAAGTGGCAAAATTTGACACTAGTTTTTACATATTGCTCCGAGAAGAAGACAAAGAGCTACCAACCAGTACATCTCAAAAGAATAGATAACAGAACTAGGAAAGAAAAAAAAGTAAAGTGAAGGGCTACAAAAATAAAGATAAGCAAGCTCTCCCACAAAGGACAGATTAAATACACTGGAACTATTCACAGCTCAAAGAATGCAGTAAGAAAAACAGAAGTTTAGAAAAGCTCAGTAATTTACTGCAAAAATTCACAAGGTGGGAAAAGAAAATCCACCAAAAGCTATCTCACAGCTGGTACAGGAAGACTATAAGCCACAGATTGCTGGAGGGATTGCAAGAGGAAATTTTGCTGAACACTATCCTTTTATTGTATTTTTCCCCATGGCATTTGCTTCTGGCTCCTTCCAGGAGACGGGATACCAGGCAATAAGCTATGAGCTTCATTCAGTACAGTCACTTTTATGATTGTCTTGAAATTTGCTGGCTATCAAATAGGCAGCAATTGTTACTAGGGTCTAACCTTACTATACATGTCTTTCATACAGCTACATTATTTTTTGCCAGATTACCAGCAGCAATCAAATACAGAAGAGTAAGGAAGAAAATGGTGTTCTCCATTTGATATAGAGGAAAGAATGGTTTTAAGCCTCTGAAGAGAGCAGCAGCAAGAGAAGCACTTATTAATGTGAAACCAATTGTGGTTCCTATGAATTCTAATATCTAAATTAGATATGGCCCACAGGCAATCCCTTGAAGGGCAACAATGCTGTGCAAACTGGCACAATTACAGATGGTAAGCAAAAACCATAGACAAGTCTCAAACGCTCTCACAAGAGCACAAAGCAAAACGGACCCACAAGCACTCTTCCAAAGATGATGATCTTATATACATGGCATACTTGAAAAAAGCAGTTTGAATGGCAAGGCAATACTGTACTGAACTATATTTTAAATGAGACCGCTTATTTAACTAACATAATCACTCTGATGCATCATTGTAATCATTAGTCTTTACCCACATACGTAGACAAAAAAGCGTTAATTTTTAAACAGATGGTCTACCCATATTATAGCTAATCACTACAGTTTTATATTACATGGAGTTTGTTATGAACGTACAAAAACAACACAAATTTAACATATGGAAAAAGAACAGAATAGTTTTTGTCTTTTTAAATGAATGTTATGAGGTACTAAGATGAAAGCAAGAGCACCCAGAAGAAAAACAAAGTTTGAATGCAACTTAATCGCTTGTAGCAATTAATCACTCACTGATTCCAATGACTGCAAAATGTCATCATAAATTAATTAATTTTCAAAGAAAACCACACTATGCATCAACTTTAGCTGACAAGCATAAATCCCATTAAGCAACTACAGAAAAAACTTCACATCCACCCCCCCCAGTATTTACAGTAGAAAATATAAGAAGGCGGCAAAATATTCTGCTAATTGGTTAAAAATTAAAACAGGTTATTATGTTTTTCTCACCTCCAACTTTCTCAAGAATATAATATCAAATTTTGTTCAATTTTTTACCTTTGACAGTTTCCAAGGGCTGCCAAAGCCCACAAGGATCCGTCCTGGCTACATTCAGTGCAAAAACGAAACCCTAAAAAACAAACAAACAAAAAACCCCTACCATCAGCCAACTGTGTTTATTACTAGATTAAAAAAATATGTAAAAGTGAAAGGCAATTCCCTCTGAAGCTCAGCTACCCCTTATTCCCAAAGCATTTAGAAAAAGTCTTATTCATCTTATTCAGATCATGCAGGGGAAACAAAAACCTGTAATTGCAAAAGAAGCAACAAAGCCCTCCCCCTGCCCCAAGCAATTTATGTGGTATTATGCTGGGGGAGGGGGAGGTAGGCTAAGCTTTGGGCTAGAGTTAGGAGGAGAAGTACCTTTCTCCTCACTAGTTTTCTACCTCCTAGACTAGGGTAGTATTTGAAACTATTCTTTGCGGGCAAGAATTTTACATATTGCAAAAACCCAGGCATTTGCCGAGACTGGATTTTCAGACTTTGACAGAATAAGGTTGCATCACTGCTGGAAATGCATTTTAAAAATAACTATCTCTGAGAAAAAGTTAAAACTGTAATTTTGTTTATTGTTTCATACACTTAATACGCACCTATCACCACACAATTTATACCAACAATCAGTTTGGGAAAAACACTAAGAAACCTCATTCTATGACCCACCAAAGCATTGAGAAATAAGGCTATTTAATGAAGAATGAGATCAAACTACCCAGCCAGCAGACTAAATACTATAGATATAGGCCTCACATTAAAGGAAGTTGGACTAATAACCTGTCTTGCATAGTACTGGAAGACAAAAACCTCAAACTGATATCGAAGAGTAAACTCCCCTTCCACAGATTCACCATGATTGTCAAAGTTTCTACAAACTGTTGCTATTGAAACCACTTGGGGAAAAAAACAAAAACAAAAGAAAAACAACAAAACCCCCCCAAACACCACAACCTGCTAACACTTCCTCACAGGGCACACATACCACAACAGGTAGAATGGAAAATCTCCTAAAATGAATAGTGTCACTTAAGCTAGGCATGATAATTTTCCAGCTGCTGAAAATATGTTTTTTGCAGCAATTTATAATTTTATCATTATTAATCATCGTATCATTTTCACAATAGTTTTGAAGTTTTTATTTATTATTTAGAGGTACAAAACTGAAATCCTAGTTTTCCATCCAGAAACGAACTTCCAGTCAAGGCATTATCAAAGCACAGGTACAGCAAATTCACAATAGTCTGCTCAGCCACTTTGAAGTAGCATTCCAAGGCAAATCTATATTAAGTATGTTATCACCTTATTATCATGATGCCCCAAAGCTATTAGCAGTCTCAAAGTCCATGCCTAGAATGACTGTGCTTTTACCAGGCAAGGCATTTCACGTCATTGTTACAAACTGAGGCTTTGGAGACAGAAGTCTAATAAACTTCAAATTCTTGATTACTTTTGCAAAAGGTGAATATATACCCTGAAATGAGTAAGAATTCATAACACTTTCCACTTCCTAACATTTCCTCTTGTGAAAACACACTGCTTTCATCTTAGCCAAACTAAGTAAAGAAAGTTACATATACCTGGTTTCAGTAGGTGGTAGGAGATAAGGAAATGCTTCTACTACTGAAATCTACTGCAAATAATATGCAGAAGTGATAGTCATCCACTTTGTGGTCTTTAAGTTTTCAACTTTCTCTAGAGATTTCCAAACACTTCAGATTAAAAAAAAGGGGGGGGGGGAAGAGAAAGAGAGAGCGAGCGAGCGAGAGCGAGAGAGCGAGCGCGCTGAACTCCTTGACTGAACACTCTCCATCTCCCTGAAACATCTCAGAAATATCCAGTAATGTCACTTTAAAACATCATTATTAATCCATGCAGTCTAGTTCACAATGTCTAACATTGGGTAGAGCCAAAGGCTGCTGTGGACTTAGCAGTATCAGCATGCGTATTTTACACCCATCTCCTATCCAACAACAGCATCAGCCAGAAAGCAAGACTAATGAACTGCCTGTGCCATTTCTGACAGCATAGGATCCGAAGCTAGAGGATATGAAATTCTACAGAAGCTGGCCAAAAAACAGCTTTTCCCAGAAATGGGTTGTTACAGGCTGGATACCATGTCATTAGTATCTAGCAAAAGCATTTAGAGTTCCAGCCAAACCACCGCATGCTTATGGACCACTAATGTCTCCATGGGAATAGAGAGAACTGCTACTAATTTATGCCAATAACCTGTTCTATCTCTTCACAGGACTTTATTCATGAAAAGGGGTGTGGATTCCTCTGCCTAATAGAAAAAAGCCTCTAACGATTATCTATTTAACTTTTGATAGATGTAAGTCAGGAAAAGACTGCTCTTTCTCTTCCTGTTACTCTGACAAATGTAGGCCCATGTTTCTGGAACAATAATAATGCTAATTAACAAAGTTAAAGAAGTTCAAAAGACCAGAATCTAGTGAAAGTAGTCTGGGGTAAAGACACAATGCTATATGCAGCTGACCAAAGATATTAAGACAAGCAAAATCTTAGTCTACCACAGCCAGAACAGAAACAGAATTTAAATACCATGCATACCTTCCAATTCAAACCCTCAGAATAAGTATCCACTCCTGCCAGCAGTCAGTGCTTTAGGATTTATCAACCTGCTTGCTTGGACTGCATAGTAAGAATTTTAACAATGAAAACAGACACAGTTGGATTAGGTAGCCACTAAACGCTCAATGGAAGCAAGAGGGGGGGAAGAAAGAAAGAAAGAAAAAAAAAAAAGAAACAACTCCTCTAATGGAACAAAGTAGGGGAGGGTGGAAACAAAACCTGAAAAACCCCTAAGTACTATGACAGCTCCTAACCAAGTACTCTCCCGTACCCTGGTTAACTACAGCACTTACTTATTCATTCAATATCCAGGCACACTGAAAGATTGGACTCAAAGATGTATTATCTTGCAATAACAGAAACAATTCATTACACTTGCATGCTCCTGGCTTAAGTAAATGAAGTCCTGTCCTGACAGACTAGAACTGTACGCATGCATAGCGTAACCCCAAAGACACTTTCACTGTGTGTAGTTCCAGTTCTAATATAGCCAAGTGCAGTGATTCACTTAGCTGGGTTAGAAAACCTATGGAGCAGCAGAACACCCTGTACAGCGTCAGGACTCCTAGACTAGCTTTTTCCTAAAGCATTTTTTTTTCCCCATTTGCACTCAAAGTTCATTACTTACAGCAAGTGCCTCCTTTCTGGTGACCTCACATAAGCTGCCTCTGTAGGAACACCACAGTACTCCAGGTGCACAGAACTGAAAAAGGAACAGATTGCAATCAGGAAGATATATTCTCTTTGGAGTCTCCCCCCCGCCACCTCCCATCCAAATTGGGAGAAACAGTAAACGTGTAGCCTATGTGAGTGTTTCCTACTGACAATGAAATACCATTCACAGAGGTTTTGGAGACAGAACAGTAGGAAGCTCTAAAAATCATATTTCTATTCACAACTAGGAAAAAGAATTGGGTGAAACTGGTTTCTTGTATAAGAATTGAGATAATAAACACAGGCATGCTCTAGGAAAGTGCTTATGTAATTCTACAAGAACTCTGAAATAGTAATTATTTTGCATAAGAATGAATCCCAGTACCTATGGATCATTGGGTATTTAATCATATTGTGAAAGAAGAATAGTACTACATCATCATCACTGAACTGGTTAACACTCAAGCCCATTTCAAACCATTCAGAATCTACCACCCTATCTTAACCACAACTAGGATGAAAGAACTTCAATTTTGGTTTTGCAAAAATATAATCAACTTGTAGGAAATGAGAAGAGATCCAAAGCTGTTGGGTCTGCCAGTATATAGCCAGCTTAACAGCACTGAAAAAGTTATACTATTCCAGCTGCAGTTATGTAAGCACCATAAAAAAAAGTTTATTGTGAAGGTAAGAGCCAACAGGTGGCACATTTCCAAGTTCACTGCATCACCTTGTTGGCTACTGCTCATGCTTAATGTGCAGCATTACGTAGTGACAAACTGTTCCTGTCACTGGATTAGTTGCCATAAACCAAAATATTTTTTCTGAACTTCTTGCATTAACTAAGAGCTTTCTGGGCATGATTTCCATTCACTCAATTTCTGACTACCAACAAATACAGCAGCAGATAAAAACGAGGGTCTTTGTTACCACTGTGGTTTAACTATCCCATTGCTAACCAGGTAAGTGTTTGACAGCAGCAAGTTCAAGTTTAAATCTCAGTCCTGACTTATGTACTGGAATGATTCTAATAAAGCAACCAAGAGCACACTCTTTGCTCAAAAGTCCTCAGGCTGCCTAAAAACATGCCATAAAAGCCAACTGCTGACATAACTACACAAAAAAAATCACCTCCCCAATTAGAATATAAGGAAGCTGGCTCAAAAATCACACATGACTTCAAAACAACACAGATACATTTCATGTTTTCACAGAATCACAGAATGGTTGAGGTTGGAAGGGTCCTCTGGAGATCATCTAGTCCAACCTCCCTGCTCAAGCAGGGTCACCTAGAGCATATTGCATAGGATCGCGTCCAGACAGCTTTTGAATATCTCCAGCGAAGGAGACTCCACTACCTCTCTGGGCAACCTGTTCCAATGCTCTGTCACCCTCACAGTGAAGAAGTTTTTCCTCAGGTTCAGATGGAACTTCCTGTGGTTCAGTTTGTGCCCGTTGCCTCTTGTCCTGTTGCTGGGCACCACGGAGAAGAGATTGGCCTCATCCTCTTGACACTCCCCCTTCAGATACTTGTACACGTTGATGAGATCCCCTCTCAATCTTCTCTTCTCCAGGCTGAACAGGCCCAGCTCTTGCAGTCTTTCTTCAGAGGAGAGGTGCTCCAGCCCTCTAATCATCTTGGTAGCCCTCCGCTGGACTCTCTCCAGCAGTGCCATGTCTCTCTTGTACTGGGGAGCCCACAACTGGACACAGTACTCCAGGGGAGGCCTCACCAGGGCTGAGCAGAGGGGCAGGATCACCTCCCTCCACCTGCTGGCAACACTCTGCCTCATGCCCCCCAGGAGACCAATGACCACCTTGGCCACCAGGGCACACTGCTGGCTCATGCTTAACTTGTTGTCCACCAGCACTCCCAGGTCCTTCTCTGCAGAGCTGCTTTCCAGCAGGTCAACCCCCAGCCTGTACTGGTGCATGGGATTATTCCTCCCTAGGTGCAGGACCCTGCACTTGCCTTTGTTGAACTTCAGGAGGTTCCTCTCCGCCCAGCTCTCCAGCCCGCCCAGGTCCCTCTGAATGGCAGCACAGCTTTCTGGTGTGTCAGCCACTCCCCCCAGTTTAGTATCATCAGCAAACTTGCTGAGGGTGCACTCTGTCCCTTCCTCCAGGTCATCGATGAATACGTTGAACAAGATTGGACCCAGGACTGACCCCTGGGGGACACCACTAGCTACAGGCCTCCAACTAGACTCTGCGCCATTCACCACAACCCTCTGAGCTCGGCCATCCAGCCAGTTCTCAATCCACCTCACTGTCCACTCATCTAGCCCACACTTCCTGAGTTTACCTACCAGGATGTGATGGGAGACAGTGTCAAAAGCCTTTCTCAACTATGGCACAGTGTTACTGTAACAGTCATAATTTACTATGAAAGTTATCCAGAACTATGCAGGTCTGGCAGCTCTAGCCCTTCTCCACTTTGCTGCACTTCACTTTTCAAGATTGAGTAAGTCTTGACTCTGATGAACTAGAAAGAGAGGGAGGAGAAGAGGTATTACTGGTGCTTGCCAGGAAACTGACCACTTCATTCTTCCCTGGTATTTAGAACCATCTCTTCTGTGAAAGGAAATCGATAAGATGCACTTCTAGGAGAAAAGAACTAAAGACGTAACACTTTAAACAAAGCAGCCAGAAAGGGATGGAAAGGCACAAATACTCTCCTTTCTATGGAAAATCCAGAGAGCAGTACTTGGCTATGTCAGCTGCGCACACCACAAAATCACCATGACATTCTACAGCAAAACATGACATGGGATAAAGTATCTATTATGCTTAACTCTGTGCTGGCTGCATGACTTCATATTTTGTTCAATATTAACTTCTTTGCACTAATGCTTTCTGTACTATGTGGAAAATGAAAATGGCTGTGTTGTATCAGCATTAACAGCTGAACCGACAAGATAAATAACCATAACTTGGAATAGATATCGTGCTCACAGTCCATACTGCTCTTCTAACAGAAGATAAGAATAAAAGGACTACACAAAAGCAATGTCATTAACCCGTATGTAGAAAACACTAGCCTCAGATCATACTACAAAAATCCTTTTACATCATCAGCCAAAACATGAATTAGCAAAACCACTTTCATAAAATAGAACACTGCTGAAGACATCAATTTTTTTTGATGAGTGGACTACTATACACCATGAGCTGCTCAGTAAAACAATTCTTAGGCTTCTTTCATTAGAGATCTCCCTTTTGGGCTCAGCATTAAAGAGAAGATGAGAAAAAAGTGAAAAATGATTCTTCTCTTTTCAAATTCCATTTACAGGGCTATTTCTGAGCAACTAGTAATAGATCTTAATGCATGCCTGAATAACCTTTAAAAAAAAAAAAGGAAGTTTTCTTAACTTGATCAACTGGCTACTGGACCATCCTCTTCAAAATAAAGGCAGCCCTGGGCTGCACAAAAACACTAAGTCAGACTTCCTCTTATTCAAAGGAAGTCGTTTTTGAGATCTGAAGATAGCCTTGAAATATGAGCCGAAGATAGAGTATTGTGCTGCCCTCTTCCCAGTCTTCAGAAACATTTACATAACTGACATTTTAGGGTGCTAAACGCTCCTCCTTCCAATAAAGAAATAATAAATTGAAAAACTATTTTTAAAAAACTCTGCTTACATCTTTTTGCCACTTTCTAATTCATAAAGAAGCTCAGAAGCTCCTTTTCGTCATATTTTATTTTACAGGATCAAGAATTTCAGCTCTAATGATCCCCACTTTTGCTAAAGAATCCATAAAAGGTTACAGTGAACCTAAAAGGTATTTGTCTCTACTCTGCCTCAGCAGCCTATCCTACATTACACATCACTTTTCAGTTGCCATCAAGGTCAAAAGTCCCAACTATAATTAGTCCAAGATTTCCCACTGGTTAAGTTTTACAAACTCCTTCGTGCTTTGTCCCTCTCTGTCCTTTTGGTCTGGCTAAACATCCTTAAAACTATTTCTGCTTTGTCTCTTCAAGTCCCTCAAGACTCTGCCACAATGTTTACGGAAAATTGTTGAAAGCGAGCTGTTGAGAGTACTCTGTCTTACTGATCAACACTGTCTTCCTGAAGACATACCTGCATCCATCTATTTCTTGCCTTTAGCTGTAAGCTCTTTGAAGCACACAATACCCAATCTTTCTCCTCGCTCTTAAGAGGCAGTAGCAGAGTAGAGTTTTGGTGATGACTACAGCATCTAGCGGCTAAAACATAACAAGGATACTAGCCACTTTCTCACTCTTAATCAAGGTTTTACTCAGCTAATGTTATAATGAAAAGAAGTATTTAGCAAAGTTCAAAGCAAACTATCATTATATAACTCACTCTTTTCAATTGCTCATCTTCTGTTCTCTTAGATCTTGAGAACTAATGCTTTCAGAAACAAAAAATTACTATTTTACACTGCTCCTATTACCTGCTTCTGCTTGATAACGGTAGCAATGCTGAGAATTCAAATTGCACACAAATGGTCATCTACCAGGAGTATTTCAAATACCATGTAATTTAACGGTGCTTTGGATGGCAAACATGGGGATGTACTTAACAGGCTCAAAGTGCCAGCCATCCATTTGCACTAGCATTCCTAATGCAATGGAAGCAAAACCAGTACAACACTAGCAAACCTTTATTTCAGAACATTCACATAATAAGACAAAGTCTTCAGAACACAGAGAGCTTGAGTTTGAGTGGCAGGAGGAGGGGGATGTTACATTAGACCAGAGACATTAAACACTTTCATCCATCTTAAGCAAAAAGCCAGCACAACTGAGAGGTCATCTCCTCAACAGCTCAACTTTGAATCTGAAAGCTACAGATAATCATCCCATCAAGTTGTTTATAATATGAGAGACAATTACGGATCAAAGGTTTCCTTTTGAGCCACAAGTCACAGTCCTCAAGACCTACGTAACAGCACACTTATCAAAAACAGCAGTAACAAAATTAAAACCGATAAGGTAGTAAGCAGGCATAAGCAGAGAAAAAAGGGAGGGGGCCTTATCCACTGACATTTAAATTGGGATTTCAATAGTTACAGAAGTTAT